CGTGTAACGGGCAATTAACGCTGTATTTGTAACGAAATAAAGTGTGTTCATAAGAAAGTGCGCCTTTGTCATTGCCGCGTCCGCGCACGCGAGTAGCGGCGTCCCTCGAGAACGGCTCCGCGCCCCGCGGGCGTAACAATATATATATATATATATATACGTATATTTTCTCTATCGACAGTTCCTCTCTATCTACCTAACGTTCTTTTAGCGCGCCGCGCCGTTTAAATTTCATTTTAATCTTTTTTTATTTGTTTCCCATCCCTTCATAGTTAGGTACTGAAGAAAAATGCGACGTGTTTCATGCCAATTTTTCTCCTATGCACGGTCGGGGCGTGTAACGGCGACGACTCCGCATTCGTTTCAATTATAAAATGGTTTTAGTGTTCCAGCTGCGTGCTATTGTACGAGTACCTTGTTTTTGAACATGTCCTAGTTTTTGAACACGCAGACCGCACACGTTTGACTTCTCTACAGATTTCTGCGCGCGCGCGTACGTTATGTAACAATAATTTTCTACTTAATACAATCGTATATAGTGTAATAGTTTAAAAACTTTGAATTTGTAAAATAATAAAAATAAGAAAACGTCATGCAACAGCAATTTTAGCGTCAATACAATATACGAATTAAATTAACTGGTTTTTTTCTGGATAAACATAAATTTTCTACGTCTCTTACATTTCTCTTCGTTTTAAAATACCTATTTTTCAGAATTTTATCTTGCAGGCAAATCGCTCTACAAATGCAAATTCACGAAGCATATTTATACATTTAACTCACGTGGTTATTATACTTTTCATTCACAAAACTCTCTCTCTCTCTTTCTCAATTATCTACACCATAACGGATAACAAGAAACAATTATTCCGACGAGTAAAATTGCAAGTTTGCTCTGCTCACCTGGACGAAAGCTCTATAGAGAAGAACACATATTCCCCCGAGTCCACCATCCCGAGTTCCTCGGCAGCCAGCAATATCTCCCGGATGGTCGTGGAATTAGCACACATCACAACGACTGAAATAAGACAAAAAAAAAGAACGATTTCTTGTTAGAAGAGACGCACGAGAGATGTATAAATATTATCGCGGTCGGATCATTTTGCGACGCGATCTCTCCATTTCCCAGTTACATTTACAGTCTCGTGCGCGTTAACGCTGTGCAAATATATATTTTCTTCCTACGTGAACAATGATATACAAACTGGGCGTGTTAGCGCACACTCTGTCTTTTAAAACATAAAATATGTGCAATAGAATTGTAGCTTTCTTTACACATCTGTGCTTGTGTGTTGCTTCTCAAAAAAAAAAAAAGATTTCAAAACAAGATTTCAAAAGTCGAAATAATGTCAATTATGTATAGAAATTTTAGCATGGATTTAATAATTTTAGAACATTCATAACTCTTACACATAAAGTTACTCACACTTCTTGTAAATTTAGCCACACATACACACACTGTGTGAATACAAGTTATATGGATATATGTATATATATATACAGCAAGAAGATGACAAATATTTCTAGATGTACCACTCAGCTACACAGCGATCTATAATATCATTGCAGGATATATCCTGCTGCACGACGGCATGTTTATCCCAGCTCAACATAAGCCCGACGGATTCAGTCTGAATTTCAGAAAGATATATATAATAAATAGACGAAAGAAAATAAGAAACTCTTTCGATTATCATTTTAACTCGAAAACGGAGTATTTATACTTCATATCTACAGGTGCGTACAAACCGCGTATCTAGGTATTTTTGCAGTTTTTATATAAAAGAATATGAGAAACTTCTATATGATTTAAAAAGAAAAAAGAAAAATGCGAATACACATCTTAAGAAATTGTTCAAAAACGCGAACGTCTCTGCGTTATTGTTTCGTCAAAACGAATTTCCTTGTCAAACCGAACGCATTTCGGATACGTTTAAAGTTGCCATGGAAATAAATGTATTCTCCGCCGCTTTATACGTCAAATCCCGCACAAATTCAGAAAATCTTCCGTAAAACCGCTCCTGTTCTTCGGACAATTTTATTTTTTTCAGCGAAATCTTCAACAAATCCGCTTGTAAAATTGTCCGAATTTCACGGGAAATGGGAAAAGAGCTTGTTCGAATTACAAATTCGTTATACGAACGAGTTGAAGAGATTGCGCGAACGCGCGCTCATATTATTTCGATGTTTCGTGGAATTTCTGTGAAAAACACATACACGAAATGCTCGTTTACGGAACAATTCGCGATCGTCGGTATCGTAACACACCGCAACACGCCGAGCAAAATATAAATGTTTATTTGAGCAAAGTCGTAATCCAACTTTTACGACAAGCCGAATGTGCGCCATTCATGTGCGCGCAAACGATACAACGCTCGCGCTCTATAGTTCGAGATTTGTCAAAATTCAAATCGGTATAATTTAATAAAATAAACCAAAAAAGTCGAAAATATCTTATTGTCGGAATTTAAAAATCAAATTCTTCTTTAAATGTTTTATAAATCGACTTGTGTTATTTCACCTGCTGTCAATAACGAATATATGAAAATATTTTCCTTTTTTTTAAATGATTAATATTTTAAAATAAATAACAAATTGACATTATAATTTCAAGAGAAACAATTTACACGGTGTTTGATAATTGAAAAGTTTGTTGGAAAGTGTCAAAGAATTAAATGCAACATCGTTCTCGACAACAATTGAAATAATAGGTTCGCGCGCTTTCAATCTCCTGGTATTCTGTTTTACTTCACGTCAGCTGATCGATATGCGCCAATATTGCATCATACGTGATAAAATTCATTAATGTAACATGTGTCAAATACAGATTATGGTGCATTTTGCCGTTGTTTGTTCACGTGTTCTTGCAATTGTTGACTAAACGTTTCATTCTATGTGTCATGTTAATATGATGTGTGCGAGAACGACAAAAAGAAAATTATTCTTGTAACGTACAGAAAGATATGAAATAACATCGTCATTACGTTATTAAACAGGTCGATTCCGCGCGCGGTTTCTCATTAGAGTGGCTTTTCCACTTGTTAACGCTTTTGCTACCGCCAATGACGACGACTAACAAGAGTCATATGATACAAAGGAGTAAAGTTCTCTCTATTATATATGCGAGCGCATCATAAAGACGTCGACGTCAGCTTACGCGTTCCTGCTCCATATTACGCCGCGTTTAAAGGTATTCGATTAGCCGGAAACACAAAGTGCACCGAAGCATCAAAGTGCCGTCATTTTGTTGAGACGAGGTATAATAAATGAAAATAGTAGAGTTTCTAAATATATTTTTCCGAATGTCTAATTTTGTAATAATCAAATATCTTTGAATAAAACGAGTTTGCTGAGAAATTCTCCTAAACTAAACTAAATTTTATATAACACGTCAAAAATCTTTCATCTGTTAGATTTATATACACATACGCAATTTTAGCTGAGAAAAAAATGATGTATCGTTTGACATTCAATAATTGCTGAATCAATTCTAACACAACTTGATATAAAGAAGATAAGCGATCGAAGAGTCGACATCTGGACATCTTACATCAACCGAGAAAGAATCCGAAACGACAGTAAAAGGTAGTCACGGAGAGACGTAAATCGAGAAGACCAGATAGCTTCGTGTTAGGCTTTTCGATACGAGTGAAATAGGCGGCTCGACATTACACGACACGTCCGATACCGGCGAATAGCTTCATTATCACATAGATCGAATCTTCTTACTTCTCTTTTATAGCTCGTTCCTCACCACCGACTTTGCAGACAGACGATTTCTAAGAAATAACCGTTCGAATTAAACTGAATTGGTAGCATATCATGTTTGTGTCCTGCTGTAATAACATTCTAAGATTGATAACAAACGTTTCCGAGAAATGATATAAAATTACATACGTATACATGCGTAAACTTTTTGATATTATTTTCCATATACGCCTATAATTCACAGAATTTAATTTTTTGTAGACTTATAAAAAAAACAATAAAATTGATTAAAATCGACGTAGTGTTAAAAAATAAAATATGGTAATATTTGTTTTGCCTCTCTCTATGTAAAAGTTTAATATAATAAATTTATTTAATTTGTAACATGTAGACCGTTTGTTTTGAACTTTTGATTAACCATTCCGATATTATCTGAATAATAATTGGTAGTAACAGATAATTGGATATAAAATAATTAAATATTTAAACTACACTCTTTGAAATCACACACACATACATGTACGCGCTAAAAATACATGTGAGAAAAAATAATATGAATTGTATATCTATTCGCAAACAAAATGTTTAGTAGGTGACCTATTATTGTATACAACTGATAACACACAACGATAGCAATAATATTGTTATTTCGCCGAGATAAGCCGAAGCGAGGAAAAAATCTTAAATTAGTAACGTCAAGAGACAGCGGAATGTTTTCCATAATATGACAAAGAGATTAATGTGTGCGAACGACAATAAGCGCGAAAAGAAATATCCCGTTATCTGATCGCGTCATTGTGTGTGTCATTGTGTCTCAAATATTTTTATATATAATCGTTTATGTATAATCGTGAGAGCTCGACGATATGTGAATCATCATGACTTTCGCAAAACGGACAACGGCACACACAAGTTCGATAAGAATCCAATACTCTTTCTTTTGGCAGCGGAGAATTTCAATTGATCGGCGATTTGCGGCATTCAACCAATAATTTAGCATAGATTCGTGAGAACGCGACAAGAACACGTTTTCAAGTTAATGTCGAATTCTTCTGGAACTGAATGATGTCGGTATTCCGATTGCGAATTCCTTCTATTAAGAATTCTTTCTTCGCAATTAGACACATCACTACTATGTGATTTCCAATGATAATTGTACAGTTAATTCATTGTTGAGTGATAATAAAATCATAATTCATTAACGTCATATCAGCAATATTACTTAATTAAGAGAAATTTTTTATATTTCTTCCAAAGTTACAAGTAATTTATATATTGTTTACGTATAAAATAAACGTTTTTTCTGTTTTCTTTCTGTGTCTCGTAATGTTAATTCTTGTTTTTGTACAAAGACTCTACATTTCAAATAAAATATATTTTTAACTCTTAAGAAACACGAGATCTTTTGTTCTTTTCTTAATTTAAATTTTTCTATGAAAAAAAGAGAGAAATGTAACTATTTTGCATATGCGGCTTCTACGTAGTATTTCGTGAAATAAATCCAGAATCGTGAAAAAACAAAAAATTATTTGTTTTAATTGTTTATCATGATCGATAAATTTAGAGTGTTATTCAAGTAATTAGGTCGAAAATATTTGCGCTTTATCTCGCGGAAATCGCAGGAACCTGCGTATAGATAACATCGAATCGAAGAATATACTTCGCAGCTTGTCTCATTGCTATTGACGATAAGTCTACCGTAAATTCTCTGTAACGCGATTTAACGATTTAGGAGCGTCGGGAGTGGTGAGAAACGAGTCGCCGGAGAAACGTTTAAGATGCAGCTTCTGCTGCTCTCGTATACGAGAGTCACCCCACGATAGAAATATCCGCTTCGTAAGCACAAAGCATGGCGTTTCGATTAGTTACGCGATTTACAATATAACTCCGAGGTCTTGTGCATCCTATCCGAAGTACATTAAATTAATTAATCCCTTGTCAAGAGAATTTTCCGTCTTTATTACACGCTTGCGTCTAATGTGCCAGATTTTCTCTCGATGTTTGTCAATAATTAATTATATGGCTGTTTTAACATGGCGTTTTAATAATTATGTTATGCTGTTGAGAGATAACACTGCGGATAAAGATTTTGCGTTAGAGAAAATGTCTCTCGGGAGTAATTGCGCCAGAAGAAGCTATTAATGAAAATTTATTCCGTTCCTGTTCTAAACTTAGGGAGTTGACGAGCCTGAAGTGTTAAATACGATCAAGGAGCACAAGTACATTTGCGGGAGGTAAACTTCGGTAAACCATATTAATTAAATAACAATGTTAAAGTTTATGTTGAACTGACTCACAATGAAATGTCTCTCCCTTTCTCTCTCCCTCTCTCCCTCTCTCCCTTTCTCCTCCCTCCTCTCTCTCACTCTCTCTCTCTTTGGCTTTTAGCACGTTATACATCAGCGTCACTAAAAGCGGACTGATTTATGACGCGATTATTGTGTCTTTGTCTTGTACATACACATAGAAGATGTAATGCGATGTTTATATCGCGTATTACAGTTATAATATTTCAATTTATATTTCATTTGTAGTCCGTGTGTTAAAGTAATTAAGATTTTATCACTTCAAAGATAAAAAAACTTTAGATTAATGGATGAAATAAATTGGGTTGTAAAAGCCGTTTGCAGGATGTTGTGCAGAGAATGTGCTTGAATATATATATATGTAATTCGAAATAAAAAATTATTTCGAATTATATATGTGTATACATATATATATATATTTAAGCACATTCTCTGCACAACATCCTGCAAACGGCTCTTACAACCCAATTTATTTCATCCATTAGTCTAAAGACTCCTGAGCCCGAAAAATCTTCTTGTTATTATGAATAAAAAAACTTCTCTGTTTTACATATAAACAATATTATAAAATAATTTGAAAAACTTTTTTTAATGTGAGAGACAAACTCTGACTGTACTTATTTCTAAATTTACATCTGCGTACACATAAATAATTTATGCGCATTATGTATTTTTACGCATTACGTGGAGTTTCATTTCCAGATTTGTGAGCACAAATATATGTCACAGAATATATATATCTCTCTCTTTCCACATTTTGCAGAAAATAACCTTCATATGTACGCGTATCTTCAAACATGTGCATATGCACATTCGTGTTAGTAGACACAACAATACAGGTCATTTCTTACAAAAATGCGAACATTGTGAGAATATTTCTCGCGTTACTATCTAGATATTCTATTTCCACACGCGTATATGTGCGTTTTCTTTCTTTTTAGAAAGAGTTGGTTCAGCAGAATCATTTTACGGATAAATAATTAATTGCGAGGGAAAGCAAGAGCAATCGTGGAGGAAATAGAGAACTTACTCCTTGCGGATTTTGAAACGAAGGTGAGTAGATTTCTGTAATCTTCGGCGGTGGTCGTCTCTTGATTGAAGCTCCGGTGCACCGGTTTTTGATTGAGGGCGGTGAACACGGCGCTCAACGTAAAATGACACTCGGAATTGCCTCGGCTGCTGGCCATCGCGTGATTGTGAAACAGCAGACCGGCGATTTTCCATCCGAAACGTCGTAAGATGTGTCGGAGCGCCTCGCCGACCAAACGATGGGAACCCATCATCCTCGTCAACGTCGGATAATGCTCGCCTTTATGACGAAACGCCTCGGCCTGAGCGCCCGCCGTCAACACAGGTATTCCCCATACGCCCGCGTACCTCGACACAGGTGCGATCACGTAATCGCACACGGGACCCAGGAAAGCGTCTGTTACGTGATGTGAGAAGAAACTTGATTCAATAACTGATCGACATTCAATATGATTCGAGGTATCGGGAGGTCCATTATACGCGTGAAGGGCTTTTATCGCCCTCAAGTTTCAGAACACGTGAATGTCATGATAGATTTTTAGTATTTACGATTGCACATATATAATATGATTTTTATATATATATTGCAACGTTAGAGAAACAATCAGGAATAAGTGATCTGTCTGTCGTTGTTTTCGGGAAACACGTGAAAAGTTTTATTCCGTTATCTTGTTCGCGAGAGAGCGAATAAAAAAGTCACAAAGCTTCGGAGTCTTATTCGTTTCTGGGATAAACGACGAGACAAGTGACAAAAAACAGGACAGAAGACGTGGCGAGAACGTGCGCGCGAAATGGATAACGCGAAATCTCAATTTACGGATATCCGCTCTACATTGTAATTTTATCACCGCTTCCTATATAGATTGATACGTCGATAACAAGTATATTGTTTATCGGGGAGGACTTCCGTTGCAAGATATACACCGAATGTATACGGTGGATCACATGGTTGATTAATGTATCGATTCGGGGTGCACGTGACCAATTAAATTAAGCCAGTACATTTCGTGCGCTCTCTCGCACGGTTTGCCATCGCTCGCGATTCCAATCCATAAACGAAATCCATCGATATTCCTTGTCCAGTTTTAAATTTTAGATGAGAATATAATGTATGTTTTAATTAAAAATGTACACACAGAATGCATGACAGTAACAGTAATTCAATGAAACAAATTTACATGAAGTCGAAACAGAGTCAAATTTGTTTTTAAATTCTACTGATCAGTTGTATGACATATGAGTTGTAACAACAACGTGTTATAACGAAAAAATATAATGAAGCATATAATAAAACATCGGGACTCGTCCTTCTTTAAGACATGACGCGACCAACGTAAAAATAGTTTCCGGCAAAAATAGTTTGTTTTTACATTGTCTGTGGCGCACGTGGAACCCACAATTTCACGATACGCTGCGTGTGTGCATACATGCACAATACGTGTTTCGAATACGCACGCAATTAAAACCTCGTCCCCGGACTAGATATCGCGAATCATCCACGTACTCACGGAGATAATAGAGCGAACTGTTACTTAATTAAATAGATCATTGTACACACACACACACACACTCTCTCTCTCTCTCCTTTCATTGAATAAGAAATATATTTTTATTCATGTGACATTTTAAACTCAAAATAAAATTTTATAGTATTCCAAACAATAAAATCTTTTTCGAAAAGCAAAACATTTACGAGATTTTACGCGCGAACAAGGTGCACAGTGACAAACTATTTCCAAGTAGAATATTATCTTATGTAAAATTTATTATTTTATATCATAGGAAAAAAAATTAAATTTAATAAAATTGTTTGCTTTGTTACTACAAAACCCTTCTTTTCCTAATTGCTTTCGGTTTAGTTTTCATTCGCGCTCATTAAAGCACAACGCGCAAACTCCAATTCTCTCGATTCTCGCGCGCTCATTCCCGCAAGCAATGCGCCTATACGGATCCACGGTTCTAATTAGCAATCACGGGTAATATTGCGTCGATATACCGTTTCCGCATATACAAAGACGAACGTTACCAGCGTGCGGTTAGCCGCTATTTGAAGTTGACCAGTGTAAATCGCGTTTCTCTGCACGTCTTCCTGAATTTAGCGGTTTCGCTCAGTTTCGAACGGCGGCTCTCAAGTCTTCGCTGATCGCCACGGCTTAATGTGATAATAACTGCGTCAGATTACCGGGCGTCATTGTGGCTAGGAAATTCCAGGCGTGAAGCGGTTACGGCCGATTAGCACGCATGCAACCCCTGATATCGCTGTGGCGGCAGCGTGGAACTCGCAGCCCGTCGTGTGGTCGCTTTTATCGGGGCAAACTGCCAAAGTTTATCGAGTTCACGCGATCCGTACCACGAAGAGATTCCCGCGAAAAACTTATAATAAGTCTTTCAACACTTTGCCAAATCGTGTATTAACTTCCACGTATCTTCCTCTTTTTCTTTATTAGTATTTTCTCTCTTTAATAATATTTTTCCTTTAACTGTAACCTAGTTCCTCAATATTTTCCAGTTTATTTTAACAAAAACATCGTTACTTTATCACTTTTTGTATGTATCTCGCGAAATTCTTTGTTATTTTATCGTTCACTATAAGAACAAATTTGTTCAGTGCTTAAAATGTTGTTCCACATTTCTAGTCAACGTGTTGCACACACCAGAAAACATAAAAATTTATAAAAGTACAACGAGATGACATAAAAATGTCGTTTAATGTGGAACACGCTTTTTAGAAGTACATTTCGTTGTAACTTCACTTTCATCGGATAAATAAAACCGGTCGCCGACCGTTAAATGTGAGAGCGTGAAAACGTGACTCGTAAATTTGCCGGAAAATTAATCGCAGATGACGAAGTGTACGTCCCAAATGACAGTGAGTTATTGCAGCAGTCGCGTCGCGAATATTCCGGTGTACCGCAATATTTTTGTATACTAAACAGAGATGCATAGTTTCGCTCAAATAAATGAGATTCCGCGAATTCACGACCTTAAACGCACGTTTCACCTAAGACAAACTTTACAACGAAGAAACAAAGATGATTTTTATTGACGTCTCAAGGTGTGAAATCGCGTAAATAATTTACGCGATTAGATTAATGGCCCCGCGTATATTTAATCAAGAATTAACATGACGCTTAGAAAACCGCAGCATACGGTAGATCAACTGTATACATAAATCATGGAACTTTAAACAGAACAAGAGAGCAAATTATACGCAAATTATTTGACCGTAACATAATTGTCCTCTATTTACGATATACCGTGATATAATTTACCACACATTTAACTAAACTTTGAAACTCTTGACATCTTATTGATACTAATTTGTTGCCGAAAATAATTTCACTAAATTTCCTAAATAACAGAAGTTAAATTTTATACCAAAGATTTTGTACTTTCACATAGTATCTGTTTATATATATATATATATA